GAGTTTGCAGAGCACCAAGATCGGAAGCATAGGTGACTTGGATACCAGCGGCGGAGAGCCTTTTGGCGTGATCGGTGCCGACGCGCTCATAAGGATCATCGACAAGAATCACGCGGAAGTCAATCTTGTTCTTGCGAGCTTGGAGAAGAGTGCGCTCAACGAGGTGGTGATGAGCGTAGGTGAGTATAACATCGCCAGGTATAATCATGCCGGCAGCAGTCTCAACAATCACGTAGTCTGCGAGAGTGATACGCTCACGAATGTAGTTGTCAATGGACTCCTTGAGGAGCTTCTTCACGTCGTTGTCGTGAAGATCGACATCCACTTTACTGATCTGGAGCTTCAGCCATCGGATGGCGTTGCCCATTGAGAAGCACATGGGGCGGCATGCTGTAAGATACTCGATCTGGGGGTTGAGAACGTGAGGTGTGAAATGGCGGGAGAAAGTGAACCCGGGAGGAGTTGTGTAAGAGTCGATGACCTGGGGGCTGTTAGATGAATACTGCATCACAGGGGTAATATCTCTTACCTTTTGGAAAGCATATAGCGTCGCCTCGAGTCGTGTGATGCTATCACTGATAACGAATGCGCTCATGTGCTCGCCTAGAACCAAGACAGCAGGATGGACGTCCTTGTCGGCATTTGTCATTTCTATCCGCTTAGCCATGGAGAGATGGCTAAAGCAGTCTGGTATCGAAGGCTTATCGTCCTTAACCACAGCCGTCGCTGCCGCTGGTCGAATAGGGAGTTTTGCACCGCCATGTTGCTGGTGCTGATGTTGACCGTCTTGCTTAGGCTTTGCTTTGCCTCCCTTCCCATCACCGGACGCCTGTTGACCGCCTTGCGATGGGCCCTGTGAGGCCTGGGTAGCCTTGGCTTGTGCTCTTCTGGCAGCCTTTTCCTCCTTGGCCTTCTTCTTCAATTCAGCACCGGATAGCTTCTTCTCCCCAGCGGGCGCTGCTTGTTGCTGCTCTTTAGGTTTCTGAGGCTGGGCCTGGTCCTTCTTTTCCGTCTTCACATCGTTATTCTCTGTGGTCTGCGGCGCAGGGACCGAGCCCTCGGCTTCTGTGGACATTGGAACTGGTTCGAGCGATCGTTTGCGATGGTATCGAGAATGTAGTTATCCGAAGGCGGGGCACTCCCAGACTTTCAGAGATCAAGACAAGAGTGTGTGCGCTGTGGTAAAACTTGCGTATAAGATTCGGTATGGGATTCCCTGTGCGATACTCGTGTGATTTACTGGAGAATACTCGTTATTTTTGTAGAAGATGGTACAGTAAAAGGTACCGTTTGTAGCGAGTCACACTCAAATGGAGGCTTTGAGTCATTCGAAAATAATGATTTGGATCGGCATTTGGATGGAGAAACCCAATCAGTGATCGAATGCCCCGCGCTAGCCAAACTTCAAGAGATGTGGGTGTGGCAGTTGGAAGTCCAGCAGAGCCTCTCCCTTCCCTAGATTACTACGTAGAATGTCACTCACTCACTACCTAGGTACCTTACGTCGGTATGTACAAGGTGGTTGCAGAACGTGATAAGTTTATTATAGATAATGAAGCTAATAATTGATGTCCTTGCGTGTTCCTCAGTTCATATCGTTTCTTTCGCAAACACCAGATCTGTTCGAGGCCGCACGCGCCACAGCATTCACCTCGCGTCGTATTTCGACATCACGATGTGCGCAGAAGGAAAATATAAGCATCAACCGGCGAAGCGCTACATTACAGGGGTCCCAAGAGAAATGTTCACTTTGGCGTGGATATCTGTTTGGCATCTAGGCATCGTCACATATACCTTGGGCAGATCAGTTTCACAATTCAGACATGGTATCAAGTTGAGCTTCAGCAGTTTCTCATTCAGCCACAAGCTTCCTTCTTCACGGCAGTCCATCAAGAACTGGTCGCAATGAAAGAAAATGAAAGTTCCAAAAATTCCCTTGCCAGGCGAACCCAACAAGGAGCGGTCAGTGTATAGTTTTCAACTAGCAAAATTCCTCTCTCAGCTTATCGCTTCACGGAGAAGGAAAACGCCCATGCACTTGGATGGAGAGGAAAGGAAAAAAGAAGACTGAAAGGGTGGGAGGTAGTCGGGGTTTTATAGCTGAGAGAGATCACACGCGCACGGACCATCTTGACATATCACCTAAGGCATCAAGGCCAATCCGAGCGTGAATCACAGCAAGGTGGAGCTCTAATTTCCAGGCGCCAGCGGAAGGTTCCACTGTTGGCAGGCAGGCAGGCAAGCAAGTGCCAGGCACAGAGGCAGCAGCCAGCTTAATTTGCAGGCACACTCTCCCCTACAAGGTAGGTAGGCACCCTCGATTGGCTGTGCCTACTCCGTAGAAAACGGTTTTATTTCTCAAAGCATATCCGATAATTGTTTCAGTATACCTTAACTTTCGTCCTTTGCCAAACCTTGGCTGTAGTTGTTCAGCTGTGTGAACCTTCTTGGCATAAGACTGGCCTTGTGGTTTGTTCATATGAACATTTGATTTCGTTGCCTAAAGTTATCTAGAATTTCTTCAGCTTCACACTTGCCCGTGGTGATGAATTTGAATATCAAAAAGATACAAGGTTTAGTGCTCCAGGAGGACCTATGATTAAGAAAGGATTCCTGCTGTCCTGGCATTAACAAAGCTTCTTTGTACTATCTACGAGATCAGGGAGCAATAAAAACTTAGGACCTCAATTATGAATGACGAAATAATTGAAGCAACAGGTCCTATTTGACAAGTTCAAGTTCGCATCCTCTTCTCGAGTTTGATGTTTTCTTGCTTCCAGCGATTTGTATAAGAGCACTGTAAACTCACTTGGCACTGGATGCTGATTAACGGATCTTTCAACTTCCTACAATATCCCTTGCCTCCAGACTCTCCCAGTCCATCATAAGGGAATTCCTGTATTTAGGGTTTTGGGAGTATGTATGTATTCTCTTGGTGGCTGATTATCTGGCATCCATACCAAACACTCATATAACTCACTACTACCAAGTAGGTAGGCTCATCTCAGTCGGACTCTCACTTCAATAGCCAAGATAATGAGATTTTCATACGAGCTGTCGATTCTTGAAATATCTACCATGTTATTCCTACAATACATGAAAACTTAGGGAGAAATCAAACAATGAAAGAACTGGTCATAAATGAGTCAATGGAGTCTTTTGGGTCCTTCCAGCCACTGATCGCTGCGATACCGCACTAGGTAGTTTACAGTTCTATATCAAACCCCCGCGAAAATTCCCATCAACTACAGCATCAACAATACAATCCCCAGTCGCCAAGATGATGAAGAAGTTCGCTCGCGCCTACTCTTCGGCGTCAGCCACTCTTGGCTCAAACCCTGTTCCTCCTTCAAAGATTCAATACATTCCCACTTCGGGGAAATACCCCAAAGGCTTTATCGCTTCAGGTGTTTTGGCTGGTGTCAAGCCTGGCAATACCAGCAAGCCCGACATCGCCCTCGTGACCTCTGACCGTCCCTGCGCTGCTGCTGGCGTTTTCACAAAGAACAAGTTCCAGGCTGCTCCTGTGACCTATAGCAGGAAGCTTTTGCAGCAGAAGAAGAACGCGGGTCTGCGAAGCGTCGTTGTCAATTCTGGTAATGCGAATGCTGTCACCGGCACCGGAGGTCTTGAAGATGCTACCAGCATGGCCCGCACAACAGATCAGAGGGTTGGTGATGAGGACTCTACTATTGTGATGAGCACTGGAGTCATTGGTCAGAGGTTCGTTTCTTCGATTGGCTGAATTTCATGCTTCAATGGCTCACAACCAATCCAGACTGCCAATTCAGAAGATTCTCGACAAGATCCCTACAGCTGTTAGCAAGGCTGGTGGTTCTCACGAGAACTGGCTTGAATGTGCAAAGGCTATCTGTACCACAGATACTTTCCCTAAGCTCATGTCTCGATCCTTTGAGCTTCCTTCTTCTCCAGGTGTTGAGTATCGCATTGCTGGTATGACAAAGGGCGCAGGCATGATTGCTCCCAACATGGCGACTCTTCTTACCATCCTGGCCACCGATGCTCCTATCTCCCCTGCTGTCATGCCCAATGTTCTTCGACATGCGGTGGACCGATCATTTAACTCCATCACCATTGATGGTGACACTTCTACCAATGATACTGTTGCTCTTCTTGCTAACGGTGCCGCTGGCGGAAAGGAGGTCACTTCTGAGCAGTCTCCAGACTACCAAGCCTTCCAGGAGCTTCTCACCGAGTTCTCTATTGACTTGGCCAAGTATGTCGTCCGAGACGGTGAGGGTGCTACCAAATTTGTTACCATCCGGGTTGTCGACAGTGCTTCTGAGGAGGCAGCCCGTGAGGTTGGTCGATCCATCGCCAAATCCCCCCTCGTTAAGACTGCTCTGTACGGAAAGGATGCCAACTGGGGCCGTGTACTTTGCGCTACCGGATACGCTCTCATTTCTCCTCCTGGACAACCTGTGAATGACGTTCCTGAGATCACTCCTGAGCGCACTAATGTCTCTTTCGTCCCTACCGATGGCTCAGCTGAGCTGAAGCTGCTCGTGGACGGCGAGCCCGAGCAGGTCGATGAGAAGCGAGCATCAGAGATTCTCGCCATGGAAGATCTTGAGATCGTTGTCAGGCTAGGTACAGGCGACAAGTCTGCTGTACACTATACCTGCGACTTTAGCCATGACTACGTTACTATCAATGGCGACTACCGAACTTAGGAGTTGCTAAGAAGTAGTTGACGATCTTATAAAAAATATAGCCTGAATTGCATATCTACACGAGCCGGGCTGTGAAATTTGGTATGATCTTCATGATATCTTGTACGGGTGCATAACGAATGTGGTTGCAGGGTTTTGAGGAGACATGCCAGACAACGCGTCACAGGTCTTTGCGGAAGCCTGCTACGTGACATAGATTACATATTCACTTGTATCTCAAAATCTGATTCCTGCATGCCTATCAATAGCAGGTCTAGTTCTAACCAAAACCGAGTATTTAACCGGAACTCCTAAGCGACTATTTTCTTACGCACTCAGAGTACCCTTGGTGCTAGGCACTTCACCCTCTTTACCAGGTATTCTTGTGGTAGCAGCCTTGATAGCAACAGCAAGAGCCTTGAAAGCACTCTCGGCTCGATGGTGGTCATTGTCACCGTGGAGACAGTGGACATGCAGCGTAACACGAGCACCCTGGGCAAAGCTCTGGAGACAATGAGGGACCATCTCGGTGCTGAGCTGGCCAAGCCACTCTCGCTTCAGACCGAGGTCAACAACACTGTAGGGACGGTTGGAAAGATCGATGACCGCACGCGAGAGGGCCTCGTCAAGGGGAGCGTAGGCATAGCCGAAACGGGCGAGACCAGCAGGAGTGCCGAGAGCTTGGGCGAAGGCATAACCAAGGGCGATGCAAACATCTTCGGCAGTGTGATGGTCATCAACTAGAGATATCAAGTCAGCCATTTAACATCTCTCGGTGGCGGTTCAAGGGCAACGAACTGTGAAGATCACCCTTGCAGTTCAGAGCAAGACTCCATCCAGCATGCTTAGCTAGAGCATGAAGCATATGGTCGAGGAAGCCAATTCCTGTGTTGACAGCGATCTTCTGCGACTTGCTAGCCTGAGAAGCATGGCTATCTCCATCATTGAGAAGACGGGAGTCAGTGTCCGGAGGGAAATCGCCGCCGTCAAGGTTAAGAGCAAGCTGAATCTTAGTCTCGTTTGTATCGCGGGCGAGAGCAGCCCATCGAGTAGGTTGAGAAGAAGCCATTTCTGCAAGTAGATTGGAATAGTTGTCCAATTGAATGTTTCTCGGGAAGTTGTAGACTTTTAAAACTTGACTGCATGATAGGCTCCTGTATCGGCGAGTGCTAAATTGATGGCTTCTGATACGCTACGATTTCAACCCCGCCAACTTTTTTATCGCCTCCGTCAGAGGCAATGGTCGCTATAAGCTACCCCGCTGTTGCTGGAGCCACGCCCGCTGTGGCTTCTTAAGAAAGTCCTTTACACGCTAGGCTCAGGTGGAGGCGCGAACAACGGCCGGGCGGGCTTGCGGTGAGATTAGATTCAGGTCATTGTTGACTTTTGGTGGGTTGTTGATTGACGTTATTCCAAACAAACCACCTCCAGACCAACCCTATATCGCAACACAGGAGCCACACAAAAAACGAATACCTGACGACTGGGCCTATCACTCAATGAACTACGAATAAGTCAGGAATGGAGAATTTCTTGAGGGAATGGAGGCAAGATGCCCTCAACAAGGCGCAATATGAGTCGGCCATATTTATCGGCGACAAGTTACTTGCACTGACCAGTTCGTGATATTCTGATATAAATAACCCTCTTTTCCATCGTCTAACATCACATATCGATAGATGACGATCAAGATGCCTTCTGGCTCGCCCAAGTCCACTTCGCGACAGGAAACTACACACGCGCCCAAGCATTTCTCTCCAGCCAAGACCTCATCGCCAGGAACCCATCATGTCGCTATCTTGCTGGTCACTGCCTGATAAAACAGTCTCGCTTTGACGAAGCGCTTTCGATTCTCGGCGACCGTAACCCAACGCATCTTATAGCCAATGGCGCGAGCAACAAGCGCAAGACTCAGCCACGCCACGGACGACGTCGCGATCCAGCTGCCGAGGAGGAGGCCGCTAATAGGAGATATGAAGCTGCTATGTGTTTTTTGCGTGGAATCTGCTACGCTAAGCAAAATGCTTTTGATCGCGCAAAGGAGTGTTACAAAGACGCTGTGCGAATCGATGTCCAGTGCTTTGAGGCGTTCCAGCAGCTTATGAGCAATTCGTTATTGTCGCCTGACGAAGAATGGCAGTTCCTCGAGACCTTGGACTTTGATTCCATTCATGTCTCTGGAGATGTGTCGTCTTCACAGCAGGCTGCCGACTTTACTAAGATGCTCTACACGACGCGACTGTCCAAATACCGCAATCCTGCAGCTTTTGAGACAGCATACGACTCCCTCTCGACGCATTACCACCTTGCATCAAACCCAGATCTACAACTTGCTCGCGCGGATCTTCTCTATACGCAGTGTCGGTACCGGGACGCTCTGAATATCACAAATGGGATCTTACAGGAAGACAAGTACAACTTCAGCGTGTACCCGGTCCATCTGGCCTGTTTGTTTGAGCTGAAAGAGAAGAATCTGCTTTTCTTGATTGCCCACGACCTGGCTGATAGTCACCCTGAAGAACCATGTTCGTGGCTCGCAGTAGGTATTTACTACTTTTCGATCGGCAAAATACCCGAGGCACGACGATATTTCAGCAAAGCGAGTATGATGGACGCACATTTTGGGCCGGCATGGATTGGATTTGCACACACTTTTGCGGCAGAGGGCGAACACGACCAAGCGATTTCGGCCTACTCAACAGCAGCGAGATTGTTCATGGGAACACATTTGCCCCAAGTGTTTTTGGGCATGCAAAATCATGCCCTCAACAACATGACGCTTGCAGAAGAGTTTTTGAAAACAGCCTATGGCCTTTGCAAAACGGACCCCTTACTCTTAAATGAAATGGGTATCGTGAAATATCACCAAGACAAGCCCAAGGAGGCAGCACAGTATTTTACAGCAGCGCTTAAGATCGCTGATGATATGGACAGCGACCCTTCAGCTTGGTTGGCTGCGAGGACAAATCTTGGACACGCTTTCAGACGGTTGAGGCACTTTAACCGAGCGCTCGCCGAGTTTGACGAGGTGCTGAGACAGGGAGGCAAGGATGCGGCCATTTTCAGCGCGAAAGGGCTTATTCTCATGGAACAAAGCAAGCCTGAGGAGGCAGTGGTCGTTCTCCATGAAGCGCTGGCGATAAATCCTCAGGACAGCATCGCAACAGAGTTATTGAACAAAGCGCTAGAAGAGACGGCATTAATTGATGGCGCAGCAGAGTCTGAAGCTGAGGATCTCTTGGACTTTGAGCGTATGTTGGGGCAACGGAAGCATGATGCAGCCGTCAAGGTCAACGGGGGTCGAAAAACGGCGGGGAGACCAGAGAAGGGCAAGGGAAGATTGAGACGAACAAGACGAATGACGGTTTTAGAAGACGAGGACGGTTCGCCTGAGAAGGAGGGCAGTATGATGGAGATGAGCGATGATGAATAAGGATACCAGATAGTAGACTCAGAAGGCATAGCAAGCATAGCATTGGGATGGGGAGATTATCATATGATTGGGATAGGTCTAGGCGTTGGTGGTATGATATGCATTGGGGAACACGACATGCTTTTGAGTTAGTGAGTGTATGAGCATGAAAATACTCTGTCTCCTCCATATGAGAAGCGGTCATGTTTGATATTCTGTAACTACCTAGGTAGGTATGTGATATCACTAATCAACTAGCACTGAATTATTATCTCGCCCTCGGATCTCGCATAATTCATATCCGAAAAATAAGCTCTTTGGTGGAGTAACCGGCACGTTAACTAATCCATCCGGGGCGTCGCATCGGGGAACCAATAACGGGGTGCTTATTCAATCAAATCCCTGAAGCAATCATGGGCAGTGGAAGGACGGAGCTGAAAGAAGAGCGAGTGCTTTTGGCGTCTGAAAGTGGAAGTGGCTTGATGATATGACGCGGCGTAGAATGTATATAAGAACAAAGCGTTGGACGTCAGCTTATACAATCAATCAATATCTGATACTCCTCACCCTTCATTTACTTAATTAATATTGTAAACAGGAACAACGAATAAAATGTCACGATTCTTCCCTCATACTCCTTATGCAGAGGATCAACCTCTTGCACGAACAATACTCACAACACACGTTATCGTGCGAGCGATAACACTAAGCTCAATCATCGCAACGGGCATAACAACAACACGCCACTTGGTCCCCTTTCTCCGCCCAAAAACCCCAACCTTGACATTCTTCCCACGCCTCATCCGCTCTGCATCAACAGGCGCAGTCGCAGCCGTTGGCGTAGGAGCTTTCATGACAATCGGTCGTATGCGTGGAAGAGAAGAAATCGAGTGGCAGGATCGAAGTTGGAGATTACTCGAGAACCAAGGTCAGCTAGAGACTGATGACTGGACTGCTATAGGCGCTGGAGCTGGGGCTGTAATAGGGGCCAATGCTCTTAAAGGCTGGAGAGGTGCGGTTGGAGGACTGGGATTGGGAAGTATGGGGGGGGGTTTTGGCATGGATGGCTTGGAGATATGGTGTGAATGGGGGCAAGTTTCCCAAGAAGGCGGAGGATTTGTAACCTGTATTGTCTTTGTATACCCCGTGTTTGTCTATTATCTAGGTATCTCTACAACTTTGCTTTAACTTGATCGATCTCCTCAATCTTCTGGAACTGATAGAAATAGTCCAGACTCTGAGGGTTCAACAACGTCCCGCTTGGCTTGATATTACTGCCCGAGATGATCTGCTTGACTGGAAGTTCGACCTTCTTACCATTCACAGTTGTCTAAACATCGTTAGTCTACCAGATAGCATCAGTTGTGAGGGTAAGCACTTACTGGAATATCGGGCACCTCAAAGATATACTTGGGCACATGCCTCTTCGTCAACTCCTTAGCGATCCTTTCTCGAACTCTACTAGTGAGTTCAGCGTTGAAGTTGACTCCTGGTTTCATCAAAAGGAACAAAACAACGCTCTCATCATGGTCCTGGGGTCGACGCTGGCCTACGCATAGACTCTCTGCAACCTCTTTTGCAAAGCTTCCCTCAAGCACCGCGTAGATGTCCGCACTTCCGAATCGAATTCCACTTGGATTCAAAACTCCATCTGAGCGGCCTAGAATATGAATATGGCCTGTTTGTGGGTGAACTGCTGCAAAATCGCCTTGTGACCACACATTAGGGAATCGATCAAAGTATGCCGAAGTATACTTCTTTCCTGGAGCGGGTGTTGTATCGTTCCAGAGGTAGAGAGGGACATTGGGGAATGCTGCAGTTCCAACTAAGTCTCCTGGTTCACCATCAGGGACCGGTGAGATCGGTTTGTCGAGGTCTGGAGAAGACGGATAAATTGCCATTGGCGTTCCAATAACTCGTCCTGGACATCCACCGGCGTAGATGGGAGATAGAGGATTCTCCATGACAAAGCAGGCAGCCTTGGTAACGTCAGCAACAGCAAGAAGAGGCTAAGTAGGAGACTCACAATATCTGTACCGCCTGAAAAGTTGGCCAACTTGATATTCGTTGGGAACGCCCCATCATAGAACCAGTCAAAGACCTGCTCCTTCAAGACCATTCCCGTACTCTGAACAGCCGTCAGGCTACTCAGGTCTGCCTCTTTCTGAGGAACTATTCCTTCTTTCATAAGCTCACCCAGCCATCTTGGACTAATTCCCAGATTCGTAACTCGCTGCTCCTCCACGATCCGCAACAGCACAGAACGATCTGGTACAAAAGGCGAACCATCATAAAACACAGTTCGTCCACCAAAAGCAAGTCGAGTCACGCTAGCAAGATACATGATCCAGCCTGTAGTGGTATACTGAAGCGCAACATCCTTGGGAGTGATTTCGCGATGAAGAATAGCCTCTTTAGCCACTGAAACGAGAATTGGACCGACCCCGTGGACGATGGCTTTTGGTGTTCCTGTTGTTCCAGAGGAATAGTAGACTACCATTGGATCTTGAAAGCCAACTCGTTCGATGGGTGGTGGAGTTGAAGGTGCGGATGAGAGGAAAGACTCGAGACGTTGTGTCTTGGGGATTTGAGAAGTATCGTGAGGAGAGTCAAAACGTTGAACGACGATTGCACCTTGGAAAGAAGGGCATTCTTTC